GCCCAAACAGGGCAGCAGGTGCATGTTTTCTGTCACGATGCTTCTGTGTGTGTTTGTGTGTGTGTGTGTGTGTGTGTGCTCAGGCTGAAATCTGTCGGATCTGAGGTCGTCTTCTCATTCACCAAATCCAGCCAACTCAACACTGGTTCACAGATCGTCAGTCTAACAGCCTGTCGCTCCGTCTCTCTCCTTATGTATGTGTGTGTTTGTGTGTGTGATTGAGGTCGAGTCTTAGTGTACAAGGGTTGTGTGCACATGCAGCTCGGTCCGGGAGAGTTGTATCGTAATGGCGTGAATTTAGCCTTGTCTACGAGTGTGTTTATATGTGTGTGTTGGTGTGTGAGTGTTTGTATGTGTGGTGGTCGTCACACCTTGGTGTACAAAATAGAAGGTGCTTTATCAATATCTCGCGAATACACCTTTGTCTGTGTGTGGTTATGAGTTTATGTGTGTGTGTGGTTGTGTGGTTGTGTGGTTGTGTGATTGTGTGGTTGTGTAGAAGTGTTTAGTGTGCATGCAACTGGGTGGACCGGGACAGGGACCGGTACCAGTACGTGTTGAGACGCCCTCATCGTCCGCTCGAGCCTTAGTTCTGTCAGGCTGGATTGGAGCCGCTGTCTCGGGAGGCTTGACTGTCTGCAGAATCGGATTACGTCAGCAGATTTGCGGTGGCAACTGGACGTGACACACGACGGAGTTGCGCTGCTTTGGTATCTGCATTTGGCGCTTGTCGCCGCCCTAGAAAGCAGGTTTGAAGCACCACTCCGCTGGTACAGCTGACCGGCTCCAGACAACTCCATGACGAATGTCGTCTTCTCTACTCGAGGCCGGTTCACGTGTGCCGCTCCTTCGGCCGCAGCAGTCGGTAAGTCAATTCTCGTCGTGCTCGCTTGTTACTTAGCCGATGGGTACCAAGGATCCTCTTCAACCGAGCCGTCTGTAGCTCCTTTTACCGCTTCTCCTTGGCCTTTGGCGCCGAGGCTCGGCAGGCACCGGACAATTCGTCGTCGACTAAGCGGACATGACTTTCGCTTCAAGTGAAAGTATGGCATCAATTGAAGCGTTGGCAAAGATGACCACAAGAAATTGCGTAACCGTAGAGATGAGAAGTGTCCCGTGGGTCAAAGGGCAAAAGTAATACAGTTTTTGTTACAAAGTGGTATTCTAAGACAAGCAATAGACAACCAATATGTGAGATGTATGCACTCGTGCAATTGTGACCTAATGGCGCATGCGTCGAGATCATACTCAGCACCACAGCAACCCAAGTTCGAGTGCCGCTGGGGGTGCCGATGAGGCCTTGGCGAAGTCTCGACACTTTAACCATTCCCCCATACCGCCATGAGTCCGCTTAAACCACTGAGCAGATATAAGCTTCACATATAATGTTCTGTGGTGGGATTTTCGACGAAGCAAAGTTGTATTTGCCACGCTAATTGACTACACTACTCATTATCGTCTATAAGTAGATGCATCTCATGTATATGCATGATCTGCTGGCAGTCTCGCAAACCAACTTATAACTAAAAAATAAATAGTGTCGTCGATTGCCATGCCGGATACATGATTGCTTCACCGACAGTCCCACCACACAAGGTCATATGGAAAATTCACACTTGCCCTGCTTCACGTCCACGGTTCGACGCTAGAAATGAACAGGCATACAATGAACTCCGGAATAGGGGCGTTGCTGCCAATATGACCAAGTGGCGAAAGCAAGGTCAATCAACTTCTGTACAACGACACGATACCACGTCCACAGAAAAGGCCACACAATCCTGGCCTTCATATCTTTTACTCTTCATACTTGCTGATGGATGAAGGAATGGATGCGGTCTGAGTGATTTCCTTACTCAAATAAATCCGTGTGGGATGCGCTAATGCCAACGGGTTCATCGGGGTCGAAGGACATTGGTCAGTTAACTTTCTAGTACCATCCAAAAGTATTCACTCCAAAGCAAGCATAATTAGATTTTCAGTGAGACTACTGTTAAAAATACTTCTAGTCAACTTTTTCTCTAAAAATGATAAAGCCAAGTCAGGCCAAATCGCCATATAATGTTGTGTGGTGGGATTGTCGATGAAGCAAAGTTGTATTTGCCATACTAATTGACTACACTACTCATTTTCGTCTATAAGTAGATGCATCTCATGTATATGCATGATCTGCTGGCAGTCTTGCAAACCAACTTATAACTAAAAAATAAATAGTGTCGTCGATTGCCATGCCGGATACATGATTGCTACACCGACAGTCCCACCACACAAGGTTATATGGAAAATTCACACTTGCCCTGCGACCCACGGGTAGTCATAGCACCACACCACAACTCGTCAAAAAGACTGTGGTGCTAGGAATGACAAGGCTCAGTGACGATGCTGGCAAATCGTCTGGGAATGTTCTACATCCACGGTTCGAGGCTAGAACCAAAGAAAATGCCACACCATCCTGGATGAAGGAAGTGGATGCGGTCTCAGTGATTTTCTTACTCAAATAAATCCGTGTGGGACGCGTTAATGTCAACGTATTCATCGGGGTCGAAAGACGTTGACTTTATAGTACCATCTAAAAGTATTCACCCCAAAGTAAGCATAATTAAATTTTCAGTGTGACCACTGTTCAAACTACTTCTAGTCAACTTTTTCTCTAAAAATGATAAAGCCGAGTCAGGCCAAATCGCCATATAATGTTCTGTGCTGGGATTGTCGACGAAGCAAAGTTGTATGTGCCATACTAATTGACTACACTACTCATTTTCGTTTATAAGTAGATGATATGCATGCGATGTATTCATTATATTTCGCTTAGACTGAATGCATCTCATGCATATGCATGATCTGCTGGTAGTCTCGCAAACCAAAATATAACTAAAAAATAAATAGTGTCGTCGATTGTCATGGCAGATACATGATTGCTTCACCGACAGTCCCACGACACAAGGTCATATGGAAAATTCACACTTGCCCCACGTAGATTCACGGCAGTGTATGGTAGTGGTGAACGTATCGAGAACATACGCAGCACTACCACAACCTGAATTCTAGTCCTTCTGTAGGTGCTGATGAAGCCGGGTCAGGCGAGATTGAAACTGGGAAGCAAGGCTGTGTGGAATTAAATGGAAGCGTAAGGTCTATACATACGATTGTGGGAAAATTGCCCTGCCAGTTCTATATCAACTAATCCCCTTTTTACATAAATTTCTGCCCTCTTCTTAACTCCCAAGACTATAACTTTGC